TCTCTGATCAACAAAAAGAGATTGAAAGAATTTGATTTGTAGAATAGGGAGAGAGAGACAGAAGTGTTTCAACTAACATCTGTTGCAAAGAAAAAAATAAAAATCCAATCCCCATTTCTGTGATGAATAAATCTGAAATAAAAAGATTTAAATTTTGAGAGTGTAAATTTGGTTCCTGGTAAAACTTTGTAAAAAAAGGGGGGTCAGGAATGTCAGGAATGGATTGGTTTGAACTTTTGTGGGCTTTCTTGATCAACTGTTTCATAAAGTCTTTCAGGCCAACTATTCAACTTTTCAACCAGAAAAGACCTCTAACAGCCGGGCTAGTCTTGGGCTTACGGGATGCAGTAGGAGATCTCCAGTTTCTTTCTTGTTCTATAACTTTGTTTTTTTCTTCTGTAAGATTTTAATATTCATGAAGTAACGTCAATATATTTCAATCTATTGCAAAACATTTTCAGAGAAATTTTTCTTTCCCCCACAACTGTCTGGCTTCAAAATCCTCTTATCTGAACATATCCTCTTTACAGATCTGCAAATGTGAAACAAAATTTCAGGGTATATCTCTATATAGTTATTTGTCTTAGAAAGATAAATACTTTGATAGGTTTTCTGTTCATTGCTATATTATTTATCTCAGTATATACATTTACCCTCTGCTGAGGAAACTTAGGCTATGAAAAATCCCTTGACAATAAGATCATGACCCTTCTCTGGACTTTGTCTCTGAATTTTGACTTAGATACCAAGAGTTCCCTTGCAGACTGCTTTGTTTACTCTGCACGGCACAGGGTTCCTGGCCATAGCAAAAGAAAACTGTGCACCCAAAAGCTTGCACAAATGAAGTTGCTGGAGCTTGTCCACTGTAATTTTTACTTGCACTGCCATACAGCCCAAAAATGAGAAGATTTTAATGTGGATAATGGTCCAAGTACAGTGATTAAATGTTTGCAAGGTAACATTATTTACCAGACTTTAGCACTGTAGCGAATTTTTTTGGAAAATCTAGGTCAGCATCCTATTAAGGCAACCTACACACACCACAAGCATTGGAAATGGTGTAATGGGCACTCCCAAATCTGGTTTTTGGACAAACCAATGCTCTGCTCAAAGTGTACAGCCTAAAATATCAGATTCTTCCTCAATGCTGTGTTAATGCTTTCCCTTTATATAAAAAAAAAAGAAAAAAAAGAAAAAAAAAGAAAAATATATCCTAATACTTGTACCACTTTAATTACTAGCAAATCACATTCTATCCAGTGGAACCTCACCACCCTAAATGACCTAATTATTTGTTTGATGTCTGCCATCCTTCCTGATTTCACAAAACCCAATGTATGAGGAGTTAAGTGATCAGAATCCCTACTTAAGGAAAACCCATTTGACTGGAAAAGAAAAGAAGGGAAAGGAGCTGGTTCTAGTAAAATTGATCTATGAATTTTCAGCAAAATTGGAAATTGATATTTTTAATAGCTTTGCAAAGACAATATCCAAGACCTTGGGATTACATATAATAGAAAGGAGAGTTTAGCAGTCCTAAGACTTGTCTTTAGTGGGGCTTCTTGCAGAGACAGAGAAGTCTGCAAAAGAAAAACTATTCCTAGGATTGACCACTCCTTCCAACAAACCTCCTTCAACAGGCAAGAAAACAGAACAGATGCTTTGTTTTTCTACAATTCTTCCCTAATCACTGTACAAACTGAGTGCCATTTTTTAATGATGTGCTTATAGTAATATTCTGCAATAACTAGGCAAGATGCCAGTTGGAAAATCACAACAAATATGTCCTTAATCCAGTCGCCCTCTTGGCCAGAGCCCTAATGAGTCTGGACTGCTGTGTTGCAGGAAGAAATGCTCAGCTACATGAATGGCTCCACTGCTCCTTATATACCTGGGGACTTAAAAAGTTGGTAAGCTTAATGTTGTACTGAAAGGGAGAAGTTTTCTTGTCAAATTACAAGTGGATTATATCTCTTTATGAGTGGGGTTTTTTTTGCTCCTGAACTGTGAAAACCTGGAAAAATACATTGATCATAAAAAGATTTCATCTAATCACAGATCTTATTAAGACAGTGTGAATGACAGGTTACTGTGAACTGAAAGAGCATAGCTTTGCTCTCAGCACACTTTCCATTAAAAATGTCATATGAGATGCAGAGAGAGTCACAGGATAATCCATAAGGAATACACTTGTTGTAAAAGCACACCAACAACCAGAAAAACCTGAATCTGGGAATAAAATATACAGCATCTGCAAATTGGGATAGGCTTTTAAAGTCCATTCAAGTATGTACAGTCCCCAAAGCACTGACTTGCTTTTTGCAGCTTCTGCAGAGCTGGATGCACCGTTGCAGAACAGAGCTGCTGGGAGGCAGCCATGCTGAGTGTACTGCAGAGCGTGTCCCTGTCAGCCATGGAAAAGCTAAAGTTACCAACAAAAACAGTGCAAATGAAGCAAGGATTTCTATTCTGTTTCCAATTCCAAAGACTTCTATTTTGTACTAAATAAATTTGGTTACACTTTCTTCACAGAAGTAATTTCCTGAAATGGGAGAAAATATATTTGGAAGATGATTGAAGGAATGGGAACATCATGAGAGAAATCTGGAGTTAAGATCACAAGTTTCATCAAAATGTCTAGGGAAGGCTTATTAGCCTCAATAAAGAAAAGGAGGAGTTTTGAGAAAATCCATGGGAAAATCCTCCTCAAGTACCCAATTTCAGAGAGTGTGTGTCCCTGGGACAAAAGCAGGGGCAGAAACGCCTCAGTTACCTGCACATTTACCCAAGGTCTGGTTCTAGGCTCTGTGGGATGGGCTTCTGCAGGGGAGGAAACACCTTGCTCTGCAGTTTGCTTGCCAAGTCACCATACAAGCTTTACAACAGGCCAGTGTTTAAAACCTGTGACATATGGAGGTGGAAAAAACAGCCAAAAGTTAACAGCTTCTGCTGCCAGCTTCCAACCATGTGTACTGTCCAGTCCCTGGGTTAGCTTTGTAAGCACCATGGCCTCTGGTGAACATGCCACACTTTTTTGCAGGGTTCATCCATGGCTGGCTTTGTATGAAGATACTAAAAGCTTTATAGTTTTAGAGGTTGTGATGTGTTTTTGGTACTTGTATGGAATAGAAGCTGATGTTATCCCAGCACTGCTTGCTTCCCCAGGAGGGGTCTCAGTCCCTGGTTAGAGGGAGCAAAAATTTGAATGCAGAGTCTGACAGCAAATGGTTCAACTCTACCTGTGTTTCTCCTTGATCCAGGGATCTGCCAGTGCTTACACACTCCTTCTGTGGCTACCAGGCTACCTGCCAGCATACTAAGATGTGCCCTTATTGCAGAATATGGCTGTTGTGGAAGGAGTTGACCTTAGGCATGTTCAGGTGATACAGAAAAGTAGGTATTGGTATCTCTAAAGTGTGTTGGGTCTTGTACAGAGGCTGTTGGCTTGGAAAGAAGGATTCTGAAGGGCAAACTAAGCAATGATTTTCCTGTAGGAAAATCAGATAGTGGGACTATCTGAGCTGTTGCACATTTTTGAGTTCAGCCCAGAACTAGATTAAATTGCTGAGTTGCTGCTCTCTACCATGTTCTTGTAGAGACACTTGAGTGAAACCACTGCGGGCAGAATGGCTCATCTAAAGGATTAATAGGGTTAGCACAACAAGACTTAATCTTCAAGAGGGAATTACAAAACCTGATAGGCACATTCCTTGAATGTACATGTAAAATTGAAACATTTCCAAACAAATTTCCAAACAAAATTTCCAAACAAAATTTCCAAACAAAAATGGAAAGAAGAGTTTATTTTTTATTACTCATTTATTTATTCCCCCTGTACCTCTCTGGGCGTCAGATTTTCCTACCCTTATTCTATGACTCAAAGGGACAGTCAAATTTTCTACAGCTAGAATCAGACTAGCAGTTTAAACCAAACAAGGTGATTCCACAATAAAGAAAAAACCCTTTCCTGTCCATCCTCTGTTGCCCTGAAAATCAGTCCTTTTGATATTATTTTCATAATCTCTAGCTACTTTCCCAGGAAAGTAACTATAAGCATAGATGTTTATACATTCCATTAAAGATATGCCTTTTGATGGATGTCTCTCACAGCCAGTGTGGTTGGGAAGGTGCTAACCTGACAATCCAATCCCTGGTTGTTGTTGAAAATCTATATATACTGAAAGAACAGAAGAAACGTTCTCCTTATTTCATCACACTTTGAGCTGTGTCTGTGTGAATCATTTCATGTCCAACAGTGACAATCCTCAACACTGTTTTTACTTTGAATTAATTTTATTATTCACTTATTTGCGTAACAGTTGTCAAACCTGTTGATTTGTACCATCAGGATGTCAAGTAGAGGAGCTGTGATTGTAGTGTAAACACCCAGTTATGGAAGATGGAGCTTTTATAAACCATGGTGAGACCAAGTCACCAGGGTTGGCAGTGGTGCAGATGAATGGTCAACAAATACTATTCTGGAGAGAGAGGAATTACTTTCACTGGGGGCAGGAGGGGATTCTCTGAGGTAACAGCAGCTACTTCCAAGAATATGGGGAAGATGCTTTCTACTCTTGACACCAAAGGGCTGTCGGTTGTGAAAGTCTCATGTGCTGTATATTCTGAAGACATCCATGACTGGAATTCCTGTCTGGAAGTTTAATTAATCCAGCTAGCTCAACTATATGGGTTATATCTCAAAAACTGTCTGAAATGTTAATAAGCTTTCTGAGCCTCTGGCTCAGAATTTACATTCTCACAACCCAGAAATACTATTAAAAACAAATTAGTAATTTCATCAAACAAATTGTTTATAGTATAGAAAAATTCCAGTAGTAGAAACTTACATTGTCAAAGCACGCAGACACAACAGGGTTTGCATTGCTATGGAAACAAAGGTTATGCTGGGAAAAACAACTTGTAAGTGATTGTGAAAAGTAAGTTTATAAGAATGATACCTTTCAGCTTGATCTTGAAAGACATATTGCAACACAAGCATCTTGGATTAGAAGATTGTTTTTATTTAGTTTTCCACAGAGACATCTTTATTTCACCTCTATTCTCACAAATCTGACATCAAAAACTATCAAGAGATATATATGAGCTATACAGGCAGAGAAATCTGCCGGTACAGCATTACTCTCCTTTTATCAAACATTCTAAGGAAAACAAATATGGTCCCTTCCATGCCCATCTAATAAAAGAAAAACAGCTAAGTCAAGAGAGAATGTATATATGAGTCCAGTTATTCATAAAAGAGTAAAAATAAAAAATCTAGTTTCTGATGTTTAAACAAAACATACTTTTATATTTGGCTAAGCTAAAATACCGTACCTTGCCAAACGAAAAACTGCTCCCTAATAGTAGGTTCCCTAGCAGCTCAGTAGGTATGCAAGGCATGCAATTCATTTCCTGCCAAGGCAGAGAAAAATGGGTAGGTCTGAGATTATACTGCTAGTGTGCTTGAAAAAGATCACAGTTGTTAATGTTATAGACTGCATATACATATTTTGACTTTTGGTCTCCTTGAAACTTTCCCAGGTATAACTTTTTTGGTTTGTCTTTTAGCTCTCAGTGATGGAGTGTTCAATGGGAGGTGAAATAGGAATTTCCAGAGCATTACAGTCATCAGTGAGGAACACCAGGTCCTGGAGAAACAAAACCAAAAATGAAAATGAAAACTAAAACAAACAAACAAACAAAAATAAAAAGAAGGCTAAAATTTATAAGGAGGAAGGCAGAAGATAGCACAGTGGGAAGCTTGGGCCTGATCCAGTTTTGGTGGTTAGGGGACAGTGTGGAGACAGGCAGGGCTAAAAGCAGGGACTCTGTCCCTGTTGATGCATCCTGACTTACCCTTCTGCAGTAGGAGATCAAGATGGTGTACAGGCTCCGGGCCTTTTCCTTCAGCTCACTCACTTCAACCACTCTGTCACATCCAGGGTAGGCCACAAAGTCACGGAGTTTTGCCAACACACAGTAATTCTGCAAAGCACGCAAAATAGGTCTGTGTAACCCTGCACAAATACTGACTTATGTTTCTCGTCCACCACTTCCAAAATTCTTTGAATTTCTGCTTCTATGTACATGTAATCTATGCAACCCTTAGTCAGGCAAATTAATCATCAATATTTTATAACAAAGGTGTTTGGTCCAAATAAGTGCTTAAAAAAATGTATATATACAGTGTTAGTCTGCCAGCTTATTTCTCACAAATTTTAGGAGGCAGCAGCAGCCATACAATCAATCTGCTCCCGTGGTAGGTGGAGTATTCTACAGAATAGGTGCACTGTCTCACTTTTTAGAGAGCACTTGATTTAGTAGAAGATCTCACAAACTCAATTCCTCTGCTCCTGTACAATAGGAGAAACCCTACCAGTCCTGATTTTTCAAAGTAATTTTTACCTCAGATTTTGTGTCATCAAAATAACCACAGACAACATGAAATTCACAGCATCCTTGTGAAGCAGGTAAGTATATATCCCAGTTTTTACTTTAAACCCAGGGAAACTGAGGCACTGTACTCATATTTCTTGGTCCCTGCCATTATGTGAGACACTGGAAGCTCTGGAACTGGGATCTAGAGTGTCCTGAATTACAGGACTTGGTGCAGTTGTTTATGGAAAATGTGTCAGAAATTTGTTTTGCCTGATATTTTCTATTTATTATTTACTCTGTTGAACACTGGAAAAGGAAGCAAAACATATCAAATATCCCACTGCAGAACACTACGACACTGTGTGTGCAGGTTATTTTTTCTTAGCTGAGAAACAACTCTTGCTTTTTTTTCTCAGTATCACACTTCCACATCCTCAGGCAGCCTTTTTTTATTTTTTAATAAGTAGCTATTTAAAAGAGAAAAAAACAACAAGATATTCCTGCATTGCTTTTTGTTAAAACAACATGCCCAAAACTACTCAGGATATAAAATGAAGTAGATTTATTAAGTGAAGAAATTTAATTCTACATTTCTTCTTTTACACTATTATTCAAAGTTTTGTTGCACTTATTTAACTTCTGAGAAGGCTGTCACAGCAAACTAATTGTGTGCATATGGTAATAAGTTAAGAATACTGATTTCCCAATTCTAAAAATTATAATCAAGTAAAATCTCAGAAAGTCCATAGGGATTTTAATAACATAGTAACATTCAAACTGAGAATTTTTTTTGTCACTCATCTACCTAGTTAATTTAACTTTTAAAAATCCTTTAAAATCACTCCTCTGGGGTATAATATTAAGAGTTATTCTCACTTTTCATTAACTGCTTTTACTGTACCACAGTAAGAAAGAATTGTGGAAACTTACGTGGATGTCCAAGTACAGCCTGGGCAGCATCTCCACACACGAGTCCTGCGGGAAAGAGGAAAGACTCGTTGCAATTTTGTTTTTAGAGAAATCTGCGTCACAAGTGGCAACCTGCAGTGTCTGTGCAGGAGCAGTTTTCAGGGGGACTCACCACGGTTTTGGAGGTCTGCAGCTCCTTGAAGGACTCTGTGATTTCCTTGCTCAGAGACAACACCCTCGAGTAGCATGTTGGAGGGGCTGCACTGGCTAGCAGGGCAGCAGAGAGCACAGCAACCAGGAGCAGCAGCATCTTCATTGTGGGGACTTTGTCCAAAAGAGGAGGAAGGGAGGGAAAAAATCACTCCCTCTGCTTAGGTAGGTACTGCTGAGCGCCAATGAGTAAGCTGGACAAATCAGTCCTCAATTAAATAGTCTCCTGCACGAACAGGAAGAAAAGTCTGGGGGTGGTCCGAGCAGCAGCTTACTGCCGTCTTAAATTTCCTGCCAACCTATGAGGCAGAGCTGCAAGAGCTTTCCTGCCCGGAGCAGCGAAAGAGGGAATGAGGGTAACAAAAACAAACACCACTGGCTCTTTTCATTCCAGAAAGAAAACAACCTAGTGAGCATCTCAAACAATAGGAATATGTGTAAGAACAAGTTCTCAGGGTTCTTAAAGTGTCATAGGCCCTAATCCTAATCCTGTATGTGCTTTGGCACGTGCGTCACTTTGAGCTGTGGGACTACATAGGCTGCAGATACAGAGAAATCCTTCCAAAAAGCAAAGTTCCCCAGCACAGGAAGGACATGGACCTGCTGCAGCGAGTCCAGAGGAGGCATCAAGTTGATTTAAGGGATGGAGCACCTCTCCTATGAGGAAAGGCTGACAGAATTGGCATTGCTCTACCTGGAGAAGAGAAAACCTCAGGATGACCTAATTGCAGCCTTCCAGTACTTGAAGGAAGCCTACAAGAAAGATAGAGAGGAACTTTTTGCAAGGGCATGTAGTGACACAATGAAGGGGATGGCTTAAAACTGAAAGAGAGTAGGTTTAGACTAGATATTAGGAAGAAATTCTTGTTGGTGAGGCACTGAAACAGGCTGCCTCTAGAATTTGTGGATGCCCCACCTGCAGAAGTGTTCCAGGCTGGGTTGGATTGCACTCTGAGCAACCTGCTCTAGTGGAGGGTGTTCCCCACCCATGACACTGTGGCTGGAACGAGATGATTTTTGTGATTCTATGATTCTATTATTCACAATTTGTCAATCAAAACAATAGTGCTTGTGATGGCTGCTTGGGGAGACCTATGTATTTACATATTCATAGTCTCTAACAAAGTGAATACATCTCTATATGGCTGTGATAAAAGTATAAAAATTATTTTGCTTTCTGGGTTGAATTTATGAGGCTTTGCTCTTTTGTTAGATGCCGGATGGAGCTGAGAAATCCAGATGCTGGGATGCAGGCCTGAAGCTGAACATATGTTGTATTATATGTTAATTGTCCTGTAAAATCGAGGTACCCTTGAATGAAGAACTGGTTATTTTATATTATTTATGCCCTGCCCCCCCAATTTTTAAATTCGGATTTTAGTAAGATATTAACTGAAACAATAAAGTATCTGATGAAGTACTGCAGTCCTTGGCATTGTAGTACACCAGGAAGATTCATCTGAAGGTGGGAAAACTACTTTTGGAGAAAAATACATCCTCTGGATGTTTCAGAGAACTCTGAATTAAATCCACCAAAACACCTGGGGGAAATAGGAGCACAGGGCTGTATACTGCTGTGTTGTTATGCATTTCTTTGCCTTCATAAAGAACATTTGGTTTAGTAACATCACGTGCTCCTGAATGTTGAAGTGGTAGATCCTTGGAGAGGAAAGAAAAGTTGTGAGTCTGGGTTGAGGGAATTTTAGGACTGGTCTTGGACCACTGGATCCTATTTTCAGGAAGAGTTGCCCAGACAAGTCAGTTAAGAGGCTAGAGGGAGATAAGAAGCCTTTGGAGAGAGCCCCAAGCAGCAAATCATGAATCTGCACACAGTTACCTGGTGCACATCCAAGGGAAGAATCCTACTGACTGTGAGTCTTGCTGGTAAAGAAACAGACTCTTAATCACCATCTCATTGCTGTAAAGAATAGCTGCAGGTAGCAGTGAGATACTATCCTTCTATCACATTCATGATTGGCAAGCTGCTAAAACGTAGTTGCTCTGCCAGAACAGCAGTTTTCTGAACAGCATAAATGGTCTCCCAGTACTAGAAGTCAGCAAACCAGCTGCTGCCAAGGATGACTTAGGAAAGCAAAGGCTCGATCTAGGTTTCACCAATACACTCAATCAAATTTAAAAAAAAGCCAAAACAGCAAAACAAAAAAACCAAAACAAACAAAAAGCCAAACAAAGAAACACCCCAAGTAGCTATTTTGTGAAGGGGAAAAATTGCTGAGACAATTTGCTGTGAGGTTTTTGTTCAACTACCCTCAGAAATAGTAGGGTTTTTTTTCCCCTGAAAAACATTAAGTACTGGAGTTTAATTTCCTCATTCACATCTTTTCCCTTGGTCAGATTTAATTGCACAGTTGACACTGACCCAAATGAGTATTTTCCAATATCCAGAATCTCATCAGCACTACTGCCTATCTCAGCATGCAGAATCTGCAATTCAGTTAAACAAAGACAAATACTTTCTTCTCAGTTATTTCTATTTGTATATCATCAGCAAGATTATCTTTGATCTCTGAGTACATTCAGTTTATGAGTCCAGGTATGAGTAAATATTTTTTTTTTTTCTCTAAGAAGCTCAGTGGTGACTTCAGGAGAACTTGCAAGTGACACCAGGCACTGGGAGTCCTTTCAGTCTAAGGCACCTGGCACAACTGTGAACCAGATACACAGATACCAAAGCGCTTGGAACTCCAGAATCTTTTTGGTGACTGTTTTTATCCAGCCATTTATGCAAAGCCACTTATTAATTCTGGTGCATTCCTTGCCCTGGGCAGAGAAGGTCTTTAACAGGGAAACACAAGCTGTTCTTCACAAAGGCTAATAGCCTCTTAGAGGCAATATTCAAAATGGACCTTGAAATAGAATTTAGAGCTACAGGAGGGGAAGGGGAAGAGGATCAAAATATAGTCAAAATTTGCCTAAGGATTGCCTCCATGGAGAAGTAGCTATTTACAGCCCTTCCAATCTGTGGGACAGTGCTCAGGCTGGCACTGGGAGTGAGCACAGCGGGAGTCAGTCAGTGCCACCGTACTTGTTACGACCACCACGCTTTGGATACCTCCAGCACAAACACATCTTTATCACGCTCTTCCACACAGTGAGCATGGGCCTTCAAGGGCTCAGGACCACTCTCATACTTCTGCATTAGCTCTTGAGGTTGGTGATGTCATTACATTTCTGAGTGCTCTTCACAGTGCATTTATTTACTCTTATATGAGGAATATTCCATAGCAAAAGCAGACACATGGGCTGAGAAGAAACTTAGAAGCCTACAATGGCATAAATGTGTATATATTTTTATAAAGAAAAAAATTGACTATGTTGTCTTTTTGCTTCTAATTTACTGAAAACTCAAACAATAATATTTTTCTAAAAGTCTAAGGACTCACTATGCAGCCAGAAATTCCTCCCATGTTTGAACAGTCTACCAGGGTGTCCACCAACTTTTGATAAAAGCATGTGCAAGTTGCTGATTTCTTAATATCAAAATCCACTTGCTTAATGCAAATATTGATTTTAAAATAGTTGGGGGCTGTCATGAGACACCTCATGAAATGAACTTCTGATTATATTGAAAAATAGGAAAAGTTAAACATAAAAACAACAAAAGAGAGAAAGCCCTTTGTATTTAAGCAGCATCTCAAAGCCCCAAGTGACAGCTGTTTGTTGTGGTGAAGGTGCCACTTCTTGCTTCAAAGCAGGGCTAAACTGCTCTTCAAGCTTCCAGATCAGGACAAGACTTTTTGGAAATCCTGGCCTCTTGGTTAGGGTCTTGTTTGTCGTGTTTGTCCTTGCTGTGCAACAGCACACTTTGCTGAGTCTTTCTGTAAACATCAGCTGAAATTCTGTGCAGAGGTTGTGCAGCCTCACACATTGCCCTGAGTCTGCACAGCACTGACAGTTTCCTGGCACAGAGGAAGTCTGATATGGCAGCACTGTGCCTGCATTTGAACCTGGGGTTAACCCCAATGTGTTTTATTTTCTCCTCCATGATAGCAGATTCTGCTGGTGATCTGCATTGTGTGGCCAAGCTATGAGCAATGGGAAAGGCAGGTAGGATCTCGGAACTGTTTCTGGGCTGGTTCTTCAGTGCTGTTTCCCCATGATAATTAAGCAAAAGTCCTTTTTGCTTACTCAGTGGTACAGGCTTCTTTTTTCTTCCCTGTTATTGTTATTTTACAAAATTTACATATATATTGAGGAAACTAATGCTACTGCTCAATAGCCTGTTCTTACATAAAATAGTTATAGAAGCAGGTAAAGCCATCTGGGTCAGAAAAAGAAATTAGATGTTCTGAAATCTGTCAGTCTTGCTAGCACGAACCTGGCACTGGGAGCTTTCCCTGAAGGAAAATATATGGAAATGGGGAGTCCTGTGATCCAGGACAGACACGACAGGGGAACAGGAATAATTTCTGTGTGCTGCCTCAGACCAGTGATCAAATCATTTGCACTGTCTGTGCTGACCAGCCCTCCCTGCAGTGCCAACCCACCTTTGGAGCAGAGCAGGGGCTTGGGCAGCAGCATCCTGCACCCAGAGGGCACAGGGGGCTCTGGACGATGGCAGAGCCCAGGACAGCTCAGAGATGTCCACACAAGTATCTGTCACTGCTGTGCAGGCACAGCCTGGCTTGTCTCTGTCTTGGCTGCTGTCTCCATAATGGGGATAATGGTATTTCCCACAGACACTGTGGGAACTCAGCCATCAACACCAGGGAGACAGGAGATTATGCAGTTTAGCCTTGTCAGGGATACTCTTTTTCAGTGACTGCAAGGTGTATTGATTCAAGTAATGCAGGATTTAGAGGCTTAAGCCTTCACCACCTTTCTAAGAAAAAGGCAATTTTAGTTTGGAGTAACTTGCAGACCTCTCCAGTGAAGTAAGTGGTGCTCTCAGCCTGGCTCCCTCTCTGGCCATGGGCATAGGCAGAGCTGCCTTGTCCCAGTAATACACAAGTGCCTTGTCTGGACCCTGCCTGGGCTTTGAGACCACTCCTGTGTGTCAGGTTTAGAGCAGCAGTATTTCAAGTTATTCACACTTTCCTGCTGTGCCTTGCCTTCCATCCTCCCCTCTCTCCCTCTCTCTCTCTCTCTCTCACACACATGCAAATGTGGCAGATAGCTCCAGGTCTTATCGTTGTTGGTCAGCTTCCCACACTCCCTGATTACCCTCATGATGAAAAA